CTGTTGAATAACTTTAGTGATCCAAATTTTGCAAAAGCATTACTGCTGCTCCAATCTATAGATCTAAGTTAATAGGTGGTAGTCCATCTAGTTCTAAGGAGTTTAAAAACTCCACTGGGTACATTTGGCAACACATTTATTTTTAGATGCTAATATTGCTCTCTCATATATCCATTTGTGGGTTCTGTAGTAAGTGTTATTAAATTAGTATCTGGATCTTCAGTGAATTTGTCATCATCAAGATGCAAAAGTTGTTTAGCAGAATTTTCTGTAGATCTGTCTCCTAATAGATAGACCTTCATATTCATTGAAAGAGAGAACTTTTTGATATAATTCTACATTGATGATGCATTTAGGCAGGCATTAAGTTACTTGGCAGGTATTGCCAGGACAATCAACAATTTATCAACAATCCAAAAATAATTAGAATTTATTTTTGCCAACAGATTGTACTACATGTAAAGGATGCAGAATCTATATACTTCCCCAATTTTTTCGGGATAATATATAGCTTAGGATCAATTCCAGGGTCTAAGTAATACTTGTACAAACTTTGGTCAAGACCTGTTTAAGAATGAAGATTTATATAAAGGACAAACACTGATGAACCAATAAGAATTGATTTACAGTATATATATATAGTATTGTATGAAGTTTATATACAGTAGATCAATAGATGGTATATAAACTTCAGAATTGAATTCTTATTTTATATATTATAAAATTATCAATAAAATTAATTGGTTATAAAATTATTTTTAAAGGATGTAAGGTTTAATAACCATAAAAATTAAAAACTTGGATAAACTATGAAGACAGAAACCACATTTTCTCTACAACTTTTTTCTAAATTTTGCCTTTGATTCAGTTTTAAGAATACTGCAGTAGATAATTACTTTCAACTCTAATTTCTTTTTATATCCAGAATTTTAAAGAAATTTTTTATAAACTTTTACAGTTAAATTGAATACTGTTTATTTTTATTGTGAATGACTCATTCATTCTGTGCACATGGATTGTATCAATGACTTATTCAGTTTTGTTTTTATTGTATTAGTACAGACAGAAAATTATTATTTTTCCTCTCTGATACTGTTTATCAATGTAATAATAATATAGAACTTTAAAACAATAAAATAATATATAGAAAAATAATTAAACATGCTGATTCGATACTTGCATTATTATTTTCAGGCAGAACTTTAAAACGTTACCTTGGAGATTAAATTTTGAAACCAGCATTAAAATTTCTGCATATTTAATTTGCTGCAAATAACATAAAAGTAAGTGTTATCAACAAAATATTCTTCTGTACAATAACTTATTATTTCGTTTATTATTGATAATATAGAATAATAGTATTTAATATAATAGAACTAAGATATTTTAATCTTTCATTTCTATTACATTTGGTTTTTGAAGTTATTCTGGAGGTTAAAAAGTGATAAGAGGAATAATGAATGTAATATAATTTGACTTTTAAATTTTACATTTTTTCACAGAATTGCCAGTGTTGCTGAAGTGTGTGTACATACCCTCTTCAGCAACACAAATACACCATTAATAAATCAAACATTTGAATTTTATATATATATCCTGATAATAAATTCAAATGGTTGATTTAAATTTAAATGATAATTCTAAAATATTTGATGAAAGTGATGTAAAATAGTTGCTTAATTACAATTTTAAGAAAAATAAAATACAATGATATTTTATATTCTCATCTATTATATTTATTTAAATAACTTTGTATATTCTGTCATATTGTTAGAATTTTCTCTTTACAAAAAAAAAACCAAAAAAGCTAAATCTTTGATAAACCACTGTTGCACAGTTTAAGATAATTTCATATGTAATTGGTATTTACATATCTATATCATTGTCAAATACACCAGGCAGTCAATCAATATTTGCCTATATATATGTAATCAAATGAACTAAGTGGCTATTATATCTTTTGGTAGTCTTAAAAAGTAAATAAAAGCAACAAATTATTACAAGATGTTACAAATAAAACCTAGGAATTTTTCTCCTATATTGCACAAAATAGGACATTCAAGACAACATATTAAATAGTTGGCTTTCCACTGACCTCTTCAGTAATGTATTGGAACATAATTTTATATCATTATGGTCAAAAGCTTCCCTACCCACACACTGTACATATTGTAAAGTTATTTTCTTCTGTGAGACTTTTTATATATGCAAGAAATAAATTTATTGGGGTAAAAAGAATTTAAATTAATTTTTCATGTATAACACCACTTTGATGCACTTATATTTTTTGGCCTAAAGAAACAAGTTTTTGTTTTTACCTCCAAAAATTGATACTTTTTAGTCATCGTTACATAGTATATTGTGCCTGTGATTCCAAATATGATTATAGTTTTGAGTTTTTAAGAGAGATTTAGTTGGAATAACCTTCAGTTTCCAAAATTATATCTTCATAAGGAGTATTGCAGTATCAGAGTGTAAGCTTGTATATCTAGCAGAAACAAGAGGTGAGTCACATTGCTATGTTTTGCCACAAATAAAACATATATGTTTTATAAATTAAATGCATAGATTAGGAAGAAAAACCTTTTTCAGTTCACACCTATAAGATATGACCAAGAATGTCAGGTATAAAATCCTTGTCTGATTTTTTTTGTTATTTTTTAAATGATATATCTAGAATATTTCCTCAAATAGTTATATTAATTATTAAATAACACTTCTAGCCCACAATGTAAATTGAGATTAAATTGATTAGCCCAATTAAATATGGCTGTAATAAATTGGAGGTCTTATCACATCAGGGAACAACTGGAACAAAGTATACTAAATTTTTTACAAAATAGCCTTTAAATATCCAAAATCAAGTTTTAGAATGTATTTTGGGTACAAAGACCCCTCATCAACCTATTAGTTATGTGCCGGATCGTTAAAAATGTATATCCTCGGATACAGATACGGATCATTAGTGTCTAGATCCACGGATACGGATCTCAACTTTTATACTCAGTCAGCGCGTGTGACCTTGGACCGATAGTTGATGCTTTGTGTTAGTAACGCGACGTGTTTTGACTTGCACTGCATGTGTTTTTGTTTATAGTTTAGTGTGACACAGGATAGCGTAGATTATGTTTGTATTTTTGGAGTGTTGAGTTAAAATAAAAACAACGTTGACAAAAAAGGAAATATTTTACGATAGTAAATGAATTCTGCATGATAAAATTTTTGCAATGTGAATGTGCAAAATATGTGATTTTAAGAAATAAGAAGTGATTTGAATTGAAGTTATTAGTATTTTATTGCTACCTATCTTTAAAATTTTATATAAGTAATGAAATTCATTAAGATAAAAGATCCGTTAAAGATCCGCTGAAACGTAACGGATACAAATACGGATCTTTTTTCCCTCGGATATCTACGGATACGGATATCCGGCACATCACTACAGCCTATATAGATTCATATAGTATAAAAGAAAATTCTATCAAGACCATCATAACGCAACTAGCAGTTCCATACTATTGATAAAATAATTTTCCCATATAAATAGTGTGCTGTTTATGTAATGTAAAATCAATAAATTAAAATATTCTAATTTAATGAATTAACATTTAAATATAAACTCTAATGTCTTAACCATATCCGAGGAATGAAAATGCGTTCTGCGTTGAGTATTCTAAAAATACTTGATTTTTACATTATTTTTAAGAATCAATAAATTAAAATATTTTGTTTTAAATTTTTAACTTTTCCAATGATGCATAAACAAATAATTCTATTGCGATATTTATTAGTCGGCATAACTCACTATGTATAAAGAATGTTCACACACCGGATTAATGTAAAATAATAATTCTAATTATCTTTCAATAATAATACTGTAGTAATAATTCATCATGACTTTATGCTGAATCATTTTGGCAATTGACATACGAATATAAAGAAGTTTAATATAGCCAAATATTTTAATATAATTTGATTATAATATATCAAACTGTTAAGGCTGTTTTGGGTTATAAGAATTCATTTGATTAATCAAATTTGTCTGATTGATTAATCAGATATCTTATAGACTGAAAATAACAAAAAATTAAGCTTATTGATTAAATAGTTTAGGTGAATTAGATTAGAATTTGGGAATAGTTTTGGTTCTTAAAATTGTAAATTTAATGTTTTTGATTCCATTTTTAAGATTTTATTATGATTCCAATATTTTCTTCTAGTTTACTTTTTCTCTCCTGTTATAATTAATATAAAATGCAATAAACATTGAATACTATAATTTAAAAGTGAAAGAAATTGGACCTCATGCCGATCAGTAGATCAATAGCAAGAAATGAGAAAATTATCATCCAGGTATTAAACAACGTACAAGTATCGCTGTAAACAACTAGTGCTTTTGACGAAACTATAGTTTATATAGTTTTGTCGAAAGCGCTAGTTGTTTATAGCAATACTTGTACGTTGTTTAATGCCTGGATGATAATTTTCTCGTCTTTTTAATACTGTAATGTTTCTGTAATTGAATATTATGTGTACATTTTTTTTAACATGTTGACAATGTACTCCATACACAATTTTCAACACTTTGATTTTATAATAATGCTAGTGCACTTAATATCAATATATATATNCGCCGCTATCTTGTAAGCGGCGCTCGACGTTCGACGTTCACGTTTGAGAGATGAAAACTTCGGCCGCAACCTCGCTAATAAATTTGACTATTTTTTAAATTATGCCAAACCTTTTTTAAACGTACCGATTTAATAAATAACGTAGAATTATCGAAATAAACCACGATATTTTATGAAAAAAAAAGATTTGCTGATTTTAATATTTAAAATTAATAAAGAGACAGAAACGATAAATAATTTATCTATATTACATTAAAGAAAAAAAAAAAAAGAAAATTGGAAGGAAATTATGCGAATTGATATGGCTACAACGAATTTCCGTATTATTGTTGCGCAAGCATAATAGACAAGTGTTCAAACACGGATCGTGATTGGCAAACATACACTGCAAAGTGAATGACGTCATCAATAAACAAGTATCTTTCAAGGTTAGGGTTAATCGAATGGTGTTGAAAAGTTTCCGATAGAAAGTCTGGTGTGGTCTCGATTATTGCAGAAGTATTTGTCAAGGAAAGTCTCGAAATGGTATCCACAGTGGCCACATAAGTAAACTGAAATGTACAAACTCCTATTCCTTTTCCTTCTTCTTTTCACATGTGGTGGATTGTTGAAGACCGAGAGTTCCACCGAATCTTCCAAAAGTAAGAGCCAAATTTATATATTATTCATTTAATATACATTAATAATTTACGCGTGCAAACATAATTACTATAAGGATGATCAGAAAAACTGATAGCTTTCTGTGTGACAAAAAATATTAAACTACTTAATTGATTCAACAAAGAAAAGATCATACCTTTGTATTAAATCGTTATAAATAATACACTGATTATACATGATTCAAACTAATCATATATCCAAATACAGTGTACAACACTCAAAGTTCAAAGCACAACGTTAACACTACATATACAGATCATTATCCTGGGCATGTTAAATAACATGCACAGGATAATGATCTGTAACTGTTGTTATGATGAGTAATAGATGTGTTTTCATATCAGCTGATGTTTGAAATTAGCTTGTTTGTATGTTAGTTCTGAAAACATTGTCTTTTGTTATTTATTTCGGGATGAGTTACAAATTAAACTTCCTTCGCACGTAAATTATCACTTGTTAAGTGCGTAAATTTAATTTAGAAATGTAGAGTAATTACGAAAAAATGTGATCGTAATTAAATTAACTTTCATTTTTTTCTTGCGTTACGTTCTTCCTAAGAAATGTTTCGTACCCTAAATATCAGTTATCCTAAGAAATATTTATTACATAAATAATTTAGACAACTCGAATGATAAACAGCTTGCTTTTGAGGCCAGATGTTTTTAGTGAATAAAAGATACGTCGTGATCTAAATCTATTGAGAATATTAAAGTATGTTTTTTGGCATTTGCTAAGATGTTATTTTGTTGTATTTATAAGTTAAAATACTTTAAATTTTTGATATATTTTGAAATATTTAAAGAGAGAGAAGAAAAAATTTTTATCTGCTATCTGATTGTTATTGATTTTGATGTGATTATGTTCAGTAAACATCTCAAAAATACTTTGGAATAGAAACTTGAAATATTATAGGATAGTTTTAAAAGATTAAAATATCCTTTGACATTCTGTGTTAAGTCAGATTAAGAATTTTAGAAATTTCTTTCCAAAAAATTATAAAAAAAGTAATTAACATATTTTTCTTTAAATGTAATATTCTAATTATAATTACTGAACAATTTAATCCAATTGTAAACAGTTTTTAAATAATTTCAACATTAATTGTTTATTTAAATGATTTTTAAAATTTGTTTGTAAAAAAAAAATCATTCACTACTTAATATAGTTATTGTTTTTAAGAAATTAACTTTTTACATTTTAAATTTGTGTATTATTATACAAATTAAAATGATTTTATTTACAGTACAGATATCAAAAGTAATTTTATATTCTAAATACAGTATAAGCAAATCGTATTCAAAATTTAAATATGATATGTAAAATTTGTAATTGTCATTCACAATGAAATGGTATACTTACTACATAAGTTACATAAAGTTTGTTATATTGGGAAAAGCTAAGGCTTGTTACATGCTAATTTTAGATAGAAAATAATTTTTTTAAGACAACAACACAACATTACATTAACGCGATAAATATAAACGAATACACAACCAACCTTCAACCGTACTAATCAGGCAGATTACAAGCAGCATAATTTTTAAATTTAATATTTGTTGTTTGTAATCTGCCCGATTCGTATGGTTGGTTGTGTGTTAATTTTATTACAATTGTTCTTCTTTATATTTAACATAATATATAATAAAGTTATGTAGATTATAAGAATCACTTTTAGTAATTATATTTAAAAATCATAAAATAAAATTTCATTTTTTATATCCTAATTTTTCCTACTGAAATGGTATAGTTGTTGTATTAATTATACTTTTATTTGATAGTTTTCATAAAACCTATAAAATAAAAAAAATATTTAGGCAAAACTTTCAATTTTTCTAAAGAATATTTTAAGAAATTTCAAAATTTTTGCCTGATATATTTTTTATTGTATTCCATTGAAAATCAGAAATCCCTTCTTCATTTTGAATTTAATATAAGTGAAAATTTTGTAAATAATTTCCAACTTTTTCTAATCACTATATATCAATTTATATATTGTATTTACATAGAATTAAATGAAGCTGTAGTTCTTTTTGAATGAATAGCTTCATTTAGGAAAAAACAAATATTTCACAAGTTAAACAGTCCTTCTATATTGATTTATATTATATGATGTGCGTATTGCATATTCCTACTTCTCATATTTTTCATAACTTCATTCTTTATAAGTAATTAAATTTTAATAAAAATTGGCACTTGAACAATACTTCTCTAATATTTTAGTTTACAAAATGGGAAACAAGCTCAAATACCAAATTCTAACTCAGTGTTAATTGTCACATAACCTTACTTTCAAATTCTGTACTAACTGAAATAAAATTCAATGAATCATTATGAAATTTAATTTAACTTTTATTGAATATTATTAATTATAAAATAAAGTAATAAAAAAAAATGATTTGCAAACTCAAATCATGATATATATATATATAAAAATGGACGTGTGTGTCCTTATATTTCACTTTTTAGCCAAAACTACACATTGCACATGAATGGTGTTTGTATGTGGTAGTAGCCCCAAGTCTCCATTCGTGCACTATGGTGGTTGCGTCTCGATAGCTATAAGGGTGCGGGAGATATGGGGTTGAAAGTGGTTGACTTTGAAGATGTGTAACAGTGTCAACGATGGAAGTGTTAACAATGGAAGTGTTAAGAATGGAAATGTTAACAATGGAAATGTTGAGTAACAAAGGAAGTGTTAATATAAAGCGGCATGCAAGATTTACAGGCGGTTTTTTTGCGTTTTTGCTGGTCCTTGCAGCTAGATTCTAGATTACTTAGAAAAACAGTCTTTTATATATAAAAAAAAACTATATTACATACAAATAAAAACCCAGCGAAGTGGGTCCTTGCAGCTAGTTTAATTTATAAAAAGAAAGTAAATATATTTTCCAATAAATTCATTGCTGTATTACTTTATTTTGAAATACATAATTGAAAGTTAAAATATTATTTGATTAATATTTATGAAAATGAAATCAAAATGATCTGTGATAATTTATATTGTCGGAATAAATTTTTATCTTTTGCGATGTATTAGAAGAGTTAATAATGCAGAATTTTATTTTTCGTTAAAATGTTTACAAAATCTTATGATGATGTCAGAAAATTTTTCATCATTTTACATTTCGATCAAATTCTTATAGTTTAACATTTTTATTACATACAAAGAATTTTTATTTAAAATTACTTTCCTTAATAAGTTGAAGTTAAGTAAAACATGAATTCAGAACGTAAAATGATTGGTTGTTTCAACATGTTAATGTGTCAAGGACACCTGATAAATTGGTTGGATGTGTCATGTTAATGTGTCATTTGATCTTCTATTAATTACCTTTAATTTGCTGCATATTAAGTCATTCTACAATTTTTAACAATAATTACTAGTAATTATCTATAAATTTGTTTCATAATTAAATGTTTTAGCGAAATTATACATAAAATATCTCAAGATATTAGCAGTTTTTAGTATAGAGCATGAAGTAATTACCATAATTAGTAAAATGTACAATATATATGTATAGATATGTATGTATGTGTTTTATTACTTAGAAATATAAATCCTCACACTTTACACATAATTAACATTATTTCTTCTTGTCCCATTTTATTGCTATTGGTGATGAAATGTTAATAAATTCTAATATCTGATGAAATTATATACAGATAAACATTTTTTTTGTTTTTTGCAAATGATTGAAATTAAAATTTTTTGACTTTATAAACATTGATTTATTCTTACATTAATAATAATGAATGCAATTACTATTATATAGTAATTCAGTTTTCTAAAAATACTTGATTTTTACATTATTTTTAAGAATCAATAAATTAAAATATTTTGTTTTAAATTTTTAACTTTTCCAATGATGCATAAACAAATAATTCTATTGCGATATTTATTAGTCGGCATAACTCACTATGTATAAAGAATGTTCACACACCGGATTAATGTAAAATAATAATTCTAATTATCTTTCAGTAATAATACTGTAGTAATAATTCATCATGACTTTATGCTGAATCATTTTGGCAATTGACATACGAATATAAAGAAGTTTAATATAGCCAAATATTTTAATATAATTTGATTATAATATATCAAACTGTTAAGGCTGTTTTGGGTTATAAGAATTCATTTGATTAATCAAATTTGTCTGATTGATTAATCAGATATCTTATAGACTGAAAATAACAAAAAATTAAGCTTATTGATTAAATAGTTTAGGTGAATTAGATTAGAATTTGGGAATAGTTTTGGTTCTTAAAATTGTAAATTTAATGTTTTTGATTCCATTTTTAAGATTTTATTATGATTCCAATATTTTCTTCTAGTTTACTTTTTCTCTCCTGTTATAATTAATATAAAATGCAATAAACATTGAATACTATAATTTAAAAGTGAAAGAAATTGGACCTCATGCCGATCAGTAGATCAATAGCAAGAAATGAGAAAATTATCATCCAGGTATTAAACAACGTACAAGTATCGCTGTAAACAACTAGTGCTTTTGACGAAACTATAGTTTATATAGTTTTGTCGAAAGCGCTAGTTGTTTATAGCAATACTTGTACGTTGTTTAATGCCTGGATGATAATTTTCTCGTCTTTTTAATACTGTAATGTTTCTGTAATTGAATATTATGTGTACATTTTTTTTAACATGTTGACAATGTACTCCATACACAATTTTCAACACTTTGATTTTATAATAATGCTAGTGCACTTAATATCAATATATATATATATAATATCAATTATGAGTTTTTCATATTTTGAATAAATTACATGAAAATGATGATAAAAAAAAATTATATAAAATTGGTCATGAAGAGAACCATAAAACTAGTTAAAAACATCACTCCTTCAAGTTCTTCTAAATTATTTTTATAATTAGTAAGGTTTTGCTTTAAGCCATGGGTCACCAAACTAGGCCCTGCAAGGTCATTTTCATCCGGTCCATTGCCGCACTATGCCACAAATG